CGCGCCGCCGATGCCGGTGCCGGAGTGGAATGTCGCGGCGCGAGCAACGTTGTCTTTAAAGGGAAGGAGGAAGGGGTTGCCGGTAGAAAAAAAGTTCCGTTCTTCAAATCTTCAATTTATTTCTTCATATATGCTTTTGTATATATAAAATAGTGTCAACATAGGCCTACATCATTTCTTCATGAGCTTGATGAGACAAAAAAACTATTAGTAATTTTTCCAATCAAAACTAAGACTAGAAAATAATAATTGCAAAACAAAAACGTAAACTGACGTAATACATTACAGTAAAATCTATTTCCAGACAGTACCGTTATCACTAACCTTTTAAAAATTGTTATTCACATTGTATCCACTTACACTCAGACTACATAAACGTACTAAAGTCAGCAGCATTTGGTTTGCACCACTTTTCGGCCATTCTTCTTAAGTTGTCGACGGTTGCCATACCTCACAGAACAACGATGACGATAAATTCGGAACAGCAAACCACACGACATCTATTGTATATCTTAAACATTACACACTTCTAAAAATAAAGAAGTAACGCATAAGTACATTTCTGTTGAAATCCGCTATAGAAAGAAACATATGTGTGAACGTGACGTGTACGATAGTATCTATGCAGGTCGATGTAGCGTTAAAGCTCTAAGTTCGAGAGTTCCGCGCCCGTACAGCGTGGGCGGCGAGGGGCCACTGGGGTGGGGGCGTCGTCGCACCAGACATCCGTGCTAGACGAAGGGGTAGAAGGACTCGTGGAAGGCCCGCTCGTCCAGGAGCGGCTGCGGGGTCCAGGCGGCGGCGGCGGCCAGCGCTCCGGCCAGCCCCACCTCCGCCTCCGCCGCCATCGTCGTCATGGAGTGCCTGGCGAGGGACCGTCAGCGAGCGGCGGCGTCGAGTGCGGCGGCGGCCGCGGCGGCCCGCCGCCCCCACGCCCACGCCCACGGGCGGCGCGCCGGCGGCGCGGCGTGCGCGGCGGGCGCGCGGGCGGCGAGGGCGTGTGCGTGTGCGCGACGCCGCCCACCGGCGCCACCGCCCCCGCCACACGCCCAGCGCGCCCGGGCGCGCCCGCCGCCGCCGCGGCCGCCGCCGCCACCGACACCTGCTGCTGCAGCTGCTGCAGCTGCGACTGCTGCTGCGTCATCCGGCCGTGAGCACCAGCGCCGACAGCTGCAGCTTGACGTAGGCCTGCACGCGCCGGGTGGCAGCGCCTTGACGGAGCGAGCCATGCTCCATGAAGAAGAGTCGGTGGCGTCCCATGGTGTGCACGCAGCCGCTGGCGAGCCCTCCCGCGCCCGCCGCCGCCCCCGCCGCCGCCCGCGCCGCGTGCTGCCGCCGCTCTCCGACAGCACCTCCTCGTCCATTGCCGTCCACGCCGCCCACGCCCGCCCACGCCGCCTTCGTCCTTCGTCGCAGCTGCTAGCCGCCGACCTGCGCCACACGCACGCATGCACCGCACGCCTTAGCGACGCCTCCCACTCCCTCCTCTCCACGCCTCCCTCCCTCCCTCATCACTTTCAACAATATTAATGATAGGATTGGAAATCAAACATATATTAATAAAACAAATATTCGTGCCAGTGTTGTACGACCAAATAACTGTTTTAAATAAATCGAGGAAAGTTGCGTTGGATTTAGGAACCGTGAACCCATGCCCACCCTGCCAGTGGGCCCGTCCCTGCGCCTCAGCTCTCAGGCACACTGCCATTCGCAAGACATACTCCAGTACAAGAGAGACTTCACGAAAATGTTTCAGTAAGGATTTGTTGCATCAAAAATCCACTGTTCTTCGCCGCTTCAGAAAGCCTTAGTTGTCTGGGAGACGTCGCGTCCTCCGTAGCGTTGTCAACGTGGCGGCCGACCTACAGCGACCTTTATGAACTCGGAAGAAGGTCGCCGTGTGACGACCGAAACGTTGTCAACCCCTGACTCCGGATGTGCGAACTCACATCTACATTGAATGACTGAATTTAGGAAGTTAAAAAAAACTGCTGAAGAGACAATGCATGAATGTTTACATTGCAAGAAATTTTGCGCAGTGTTTCGAAAGAAGTATTGAGGTGTTAGTCGATAACGTGGGCCATGAGATAAAGAGAGTAGTTACCGTCAAATTAAAGTAATTAAGGTAAAAAAATTGCAATGAAATAAAAAGAGTAGTATTCGAAATGTGATGGAAAAGACTGGTTGGAATATTTAGGAATAAACGGATTTGAGGACGACTGGAGAAGTTAACAATCAATATAATAGGAGCATAAGCCTATTATATTTTTTAAGGAGAAAATAAATTCAGAAATTTATGTTCGAAAGAGAAAGTGACGGGAGAAGTAAATGGAAAATAAAGGTTGGAATGATAAAAGGACCAAAATAACGTGAAGAGTGAGACAAAAAATATAACATGATAGAAATGATATTGTGAGCCTGTAGCTGTACCTGAGGGGGTTACCTCGTTGGTTAGCTCAGAATGATGTTGAAATTCTGTTGAGGAGTAGTGGAATGAGAGACGGGAATAGCGAAAATTCCAAGAAGGTTGGCCGAAATCAGTCTGCCAATCACAAATTAATTTGAAAGAAAAAAATCATTAACGTTCGTACGAAATTGACTGTTAAATTGATGATCTTTGAAAATCCACTTCATAGTCTCTAATAGAATATCGGGCGAGTTTGATCAAAGCAAGTGCATGAAACGGACTCTCCGAAATGAATCGCTTCCATCCGTGAAATGAATGGATCCTTGAGTTCGCAGTGCTCCTCGAATGGTTCTCGGTAAAATGGGAGGCAGGTAGTTCGAATCTGCGATGGCATTTTTGAGACTTGTGCTTTTCACGAAATTGATGCTGCGCCACGGTTAACGGAGAAGCACCGTATTGATTCTCTGTAAATGGAATCGCTATACTCGGAACCACTGCGCATTCCCTCTCGTTCGCGATCAATAGTACGCATGTGATGGGTATCTCATGGAGTAGATATCGGTCAGCAACTGTGTGAATCAAAATCGAATGAGTAGTGTTATTGTATTGGCCTATCGTGATGTCATTTTTGGCAACTTAGTTTCGGAAAACCTGGATATTGCTAACATGAAGGGAGAAAAATTGTATTGTGGAATATTGTGACTTCATGGGGGTTGCAGTTGAATTTGTAGAGGGAAGGAAAAATTGCGTTGTTGTTAAGTAACTTGAGTTAAAGAATTTCATAGTTTCGTGTAAGTGGAACATCGAATAATGGTATTTGACGGTAGAAAGAACAAATATCCGGTAATCGAGTATTTCAACAAATCGAGAGTTCAGATTGTCAAATTATAAATGAATTCGAAGAAGATGATGAAGAAGAAACAGAGAAAAATGAAGAAATTAAAGATTGCAAATTTTTAACGAGTTATCGTATATTTCGTGAAACAAAGATTCGATCTGGCGAGTTTCAAAATTTATTACGATGCTAAAAAGAAAACTGGGAATATACGGACCAAGGAATTCGAATTATAGTGGCTAGAGTTGCCATGTTGCCCAATTTTGATCTTGGTGGGACGTCGACGAGGAAACGCAGAATACTCGGATATCATGAAAGTGAAACAATGGAGGTTTGATACTCGATACTCTAATGCGTTGTCGTCGTGGCGCTACGGAGGTAGGAAGTGACGAAGCAAGTTCACGAAGCCGCGCGAGAGCCGTCGGCGCATGCTTTGGCCCGTCTCCGCTGAGCACGTGCTGCTGGAAATCAAGTTCAGGCGGGCGAGCGGCCGTCCGTCCGGATGACACCTGTGGGATTCCGTGGCTCCGCCGAAAGCGCCCCCCCCATCCCACCTCCCTTTTCAGGCGCACCTTCCGCGTTCATGAAGCGGCCCCTGAGGGGCGATGCGCCCCCGCACGGCCTCATCGCCCCGCCCTTTTGTGCGCTGACCGCCCGCGCCCGGCCCCGCGCCGCCGCGCCCCGCCCCGCGGCACTTCGCGCTGAATGGACAACCTTCATTTGAGCCGATTATGAACACGACACCACGCGCGCGCCCGCCCAAGTTATAGAAACATGTGTTATTGATTTAACCCTTTGCTCCCTGACACAGTAAAGCCCAGGGAATATGACGGTATTAATGAAGAGTTGCTGTGATAGCGGCGACCCTTTGTGACGAAACAAAGCAATAGCGCCGCGGATTGCGCGGACACCCTAGCGNGGGGGGGGCTCTTGTGATGCGGATGGATGCACACCATAGGAGGTGCGTTCCGTGAGTAATTTGCTCTTGCGCGCCCTTTCGATTGATCTCCCGGGGGCAGCGGATACCGCTAGATAAGGGAGGGATGCTGTATTATTATTATTATTATTATTATTATTATTATTATTATTATTATTATTATTTGACTACGACAAATTTTAGATTCTGAAAGCCGTAACTTACATGCGAGAAAGTTCAAAAAAACAACAGGAAAGTTACAATTTGTCTATTGTCAGCAATCGCGAACTCTTGAATAGATTGAATAGCACTTTGCAAGTTATTTCCAAGATTTTTCGAAAATAGCTTTTGGCTTTTAATTTGCTATGGGATATATTTTAATCATTAGATTCTGTAAAGATAATGTCACACGCGACTTCTCAAGATTTGGGAAGCTTAGTAGATTCGTAGATGTGATTTATAAAAAAGCTAGTATCTTAACAAATCTAAATTCAAATGCTACACCAGTTTTAATTTAAAAAGCAATTTCAATCCAGAAGTTGTTTATTTTCAACATTGGTCTAGTGCGTATCACTGAAGATGAAACGAGTTTAAATCAATAAATGAATAGAGGAGATAAAAGAGATGGCAACAATAATAAAATAGAATATTTTGAAGACCTAAGAACCCTGGAGACGGCTAGCTTTCTACCGAGGCAGGCTGGAGAGCGGCGTGACAGGAGAGGGGATTGAGAGGAGTGAGGTCAGCGGTAGAGAGTGCGGAAGTTAGACGGTTGGACGCCACGAAGGGTGGACAACTGTGACAACTTGACTCTCACTTGACAGTCCTAGAGACGACGTGCCCTAGATCATCTTTGAGCGGCGAAGAGCTGGGTGGGGCGTAGTGTATGAGTGGTGTTGCGGCGGAGAGAGGCAGGTGCGCAACTCGGAGGCTGCCTGACCACAATGAAATGGTTCCGGGAGCCACTCTCCCCTTGATAACCTGTCGGCGGAGAAGGGGGTATTAGTGGAAAGGAAGTAGAAGTGAAGGAATGTTAGTGAGTGGAGTGGGTGCGCAACCCTTGGGCCTCCCTGACGACAGCCCAGCGTTGAGACGGACCTTCCCTTGCTGACCTTTGTCGATTACGTCCTGCAGAAGACGGTGCGCTACCGGAAGAAAACTCTCTGGGCATGACGTACTCTGGCCTCTTTCCTAACGTCCCCGCCCAATCCGACGACCCTTTGGACCCGCGGCCTCCCCAATCAGCAGGGCGAGGGTGCGTGTCGCTCACCTGGAGCCCTCGCCGTGGGCGGGCGCGGGCGCGGCTGCCGCGGCCGCCGCCGCCGCCGCTGCCGCCGCCGCCACCGCCGCCGCCGTCGTCGTCGTGTTGGAGGCCTGGTGCGCCGGCGGCGGCTGCAGAGTGGGCAGCGGCTGCAGCAGCAGATGCGGGTCCATCTGGTACGGGTGGAACAGCGGCTGGCTGAGGTGCGCGCTGCTACTTGGTCGGTCCCGGCAGCTGCGAAACGCGGGCACCGTGTTAGCAAGGCCCCACGCTTTCCCAAGGCTTTGGCTTGAATTCTGAGATTTCGGGTATTCGCTAAGGTCCACCGCGCTAAAAAAATAGGGTTTTATGAAATAAAACCTGCACTCAAGGGGTTAGAAAGAAAATTAAATTAAAGTTAAACTTAACAATAACCTCATTTTATATTTATATATATATATATATATAAATAACTAACAATATATATATATAACTAACAATATATATATATATATATATATTGTTAGTTTTTCTGCCATTGCATTTAATGTATTCTGAAAGGTTAACTTATTGTTTAATATTTTACAATTTTATGACATTCCTTTTTGTTTTAATCACTTAAAAAAACTGTTGCAAACGGTCAGGGAGTGGTATTGGTATATTTTGCCAATAATTTGACGAGGAACTCAGGAGCTTTTTAGACATGAAATTGTTGAAGAAAATTTTGTGAGTTTTTTTTTGGGGGGGGGGGCACTATAAGATATTTCATTATGTTGAACATTTTAAACCCATTGTAGATGAGTGTAATATGTATGTTTTGTAATGACTCCGTCGATAAGGGGAAAGGTGTTCATCACAAATTCGAACGAGTTTCTATCGATTGATAATAAAAGAACATGAATTGTTTATATAATTATCTTTCTTTTGATTTAATTGATATTTAAAATTTCGGAAATGCTGACAGCTTAACGTGCCTTAAATATTTCATAAAATCACATACGTTCGGTGAAATCAATAAAGTGCTCATCGAAGTGACATTACCGGAAAGAAGTTGTTTGGTTTGTTTGGTGTGGACATCGGTTGCAAATTGCCGACAGAGGCGACAATTGATTTTTTTGTCGTGTTCGAATGACTGACGCGATCAGAGGAGCTTAATGGACGATGAAGAGTATAAATACTGGAATTGGAATAATCGTTGTGCGTGTAGCGTTGAATTAGCTCCCTGCACGCGATGTTTAAATTGAAATAGTAATATGTATAACGTATTGGATTAGAGGAGCACTTCTAGTTTTTGTTTTCTGTTTTTAATGACGTGAAAATGGGGAATTTGGAGGTGTTTAGTGTCTCGTCGAACGCATTCCGCAATGCGAGCTTTGTTCATTGATGCTGTCATGGGGATCCGTTTTCATTTATGTCGATGTGATGAGTGATACGCCTTTTTTATATTTAACAGCGAGGCTTAATTTCAAAAGTTAGTTTTAAATATCTGCAAAAAGGATTTTTCGTATCTACAGTTTGTAATTACACTGGGATAGCAGTTATTTGATATTTCACAATGATTTGTGTGTAATTAGCAAAGTGTAAGTCGGAACATTATTCGCAATATGGCAAAATTTTCTGATGGTGTTTTTGGACGTGGAAATTTGGGGAAAGCGACCCGGTTTGGGATCGTTTTACAAATTACACGGCATTTGAGTGTCGTAACGGTTAGTCGCGTTTTCCACGCCCCGCTCTTATAACGCAAGTTACCAGGGGGGTTAAGCTCGTGAGCTCCTGTCTCATAATGCGGAGGGTAATTATTTTCGTCCCGCGGGGCCGGCGGGGCAGTTCGGCCGGCAGATACTCACTCCCGCGTGGTGAGGAAGGGCCGCAGGAACTCCATGCGCGCCGAGTGCACCCAGGTCTTGACGCGGCGGCTGCCGCCCTGCGTCTCCTGCGCGTTGCGCTTCTCCAGCCACGTCTTGTAATAGTCCCGCAGCCGCTTCCATTTGTGCTTGCAGGCGCGCCCTACGCAAGCGCGACACGTGCTTTGGCGCGGCGCCGGCGGCGGCGGCGCTGGCGGCGGCACGTGCTCGGCCGCGGTGCGCAACCGGCGCTGGCGTTGGCGTTGGCGCTGGCGCTGGCGCTGGCGAGCGCGTCGCTCGCAGGACGCCTCGGCGACTAGCCACTGCCCGGCGGGCAGCACCGCGCGCCGCTCGCGCTCTCGCAGCGCCGCCGCGCTCCGCCGCCTCGCCTCGCGCCGCGCCGCGCCGCGCACCGCACCGCGCGCGCGGCACGAACCCGCAGCCCGCGGCGCCGGTCGCCCGCGGCGCGCGCGCGCCAGCGCCGACACCGCCCTCCTACTCGCTCGTTCGCGGTGCGAAGCGAAACGGTGGCACGGGGGACCCCCCTTTGCTCGCCCACAGCTAACACGCTCGCGCGCTGGCTCGCTCGCTCGCTTCGGTTCGCGCGCGCGCGCGCCCACTAAATCGAAACGGTTTTCCCGCGCCGCAGGCCGCGCGCCACGAGTTCGAGACTCGCGCCTGCTTTTCGTTTTCATCGGCGCGGAAGCTGGCGACGGGCGCGGCGCGCGGCGGAGGACGGGCAGCGGGGGAGGGGGGGGGGCGCTGCGCGGCTGCGGCAGCGGCGTGGCGGTGAAGGCGGCGGACCGCGCCGAGCCCTCCCTCCGCGCGCCCCTCCCCCGCGACGCGACCCTCCCTCCCTCGCCCCGCCGCGCCACGCGCTCCGCGCCGCGCTGCCGCCACGCGCCCCCCTCCCGCCCCCTCGCCCGCGCCGCGCTCCCCCTGCGGCGGCGCGGGTCGGACAAATCAAATATGGCGTGCTGTTGTGTACATGGCACGGATAATTACAGAGCTGTGGAGATTAGGGGGCCGCGGCGCGGGGGCGGCGCGGGCGGGGCGCGCCAGGGCGGGCGCAGCTGGCCCACGCCGGGGGTTCCGCGCCGCCCCCGGTGCCGGGACAGGGTTCCATGCCGCGGTCGGCCGGCCCGGTCCACCCGGGCGCGGGGAGGCCCCGCCGGCGCCGCGCGCAGCCTGGCGCGCGCTGGCGGCTGGCTGGCTGCTGGCGCGCGGCCGCGTGGCACAAAATGGCGGTTCATGCGCGAGGTGGCCATGTCCAATTTAAAAAATCGTTAAAAACGCGCCGTATAAAAAGCAGCGGGCGCCGTGGCGGGGTACCCGTGCGGCGGTGTCGAGCGGGTACGCGCACTCGGGCCTCCGATCTCCTCTGCGCGGAGTGACACTCGGCCACAACGCAGTCTATCCCCCGAGGAAAACAATGTCCCCTGCGCTTCGACGGCGGAGGTGGCGCGAGTGCCCCGCAGCGCGCCCGTTAAAGTGTAATGTTACACTAGACAGAACTGCTGTTGTACAATTCCAAATCCTCGTAGTGCCTGTAGCTTCTAATTGCGACGCGAGTAAACTTCCGCGCCGCACCGCGCCGCTGTGTCCGCCTGGCGCGCTCCGCTCCGCAGCGCCCCCTGCGCTATGCGCTCGTGTCTCGCCGCTGCCGCGCCGTTCGCTTTGTACTCTCTTCCTTTCCCCCACTTTCCTATCTCCGCACGGCTCTCTCCCCCGCTCTCCGTCTCTGTCAGCGCTTCCACTTTCCCCGTGGCCTGTTTCATTGAATATCCAAGGTAGCAGTCAAATCTTCAATGAACATCGTACTACTAGACTGCCCTTTGGCATATGCGCATTGAGTTTCGCCGGCGCACGAGAGCGGTGTGGCGGGGGCGGAGCAGGGCCGCGGCGGGGTGGAGCGGGGCGGGGCGAGCGGAGGGGAAAAGGCGCGTTCTCGCGGTCGGCGGAGAGGGGAGCCTAACGTTCCCCGCACGAACCATTTGTTGTGGAGGAGGCTTTGTTGGCGTCGAGTGAAGCTCGCGGCGTGGTCGCGGCCGCCGTCAAAGTGGCGCGGCCCGACGCCGCGCGCGGAGGCCAGCAGGCGGGCCGGCAGGCGGCGACGCGGCGCAGGCGTTTTCCGGGCGTGTTTACCCGCGTGCGCGCCGGGGAAAGACCGCGTGGCCGCCGCCGCACGTGCTCCTCCGCACGTCCGTGCTCGCGCCCGCTCTGCCCATTGTTGCCGCGCGGACGACTGCTGCGGCGGCGGCGTTGGCGGCGACGCGCGGGAAGTAATTGGACGGAAGAGCGGAGGGACAGCGGTAATGTCGCGGGCGTTACACCTGCACTCCCGCTCGCTCGCACACGCGTTACAGTCACGACGAGTGTGTTCGCGCGCGCGCATCGCCGGTGCAGCGATAAAAAAAACACAAAAAATGTGGCCCGTAAAATCTGCGTATACGGCCGCCTGAATGTATTTGTCATCTTGCTAATGGCGGGATCGCGCCGCGCCGGTTGTGCAACCCCCTCGAATGAAGTGGGCTTTTTGTTGTTTTTCAAAAACCGTATTGTGCACTAGCCATTGAGATCTGACAGCTCCCTGCTGAAAGCTTGTTCTGCACTTTGTTTAACGCGAATTGTATTGCAATAAAACAAACGCCTAATTTTTGCGTCGTGTTTTTGTCGCGGGCGTGAATCGGGAAGCGACACCGACCCGGCGCGCATTAGCGATTTAATGAGGTTACAGTTGCATTTTGTTAGAATATGTAATACATGAAATGAAAATATTATTGTGCTTCAAGTGTCTCTGAATTCAACGCGAAATTTTATTTGAATGCAAATAATGAGAATTAAAAACACATTCTGGCAGAAAGCATGAAAGTCGAGAATTAATTACTTTGAATAATTGGACTACTGCTGGATATTTTGATACGTTTGCGTCGTTTAATTACCCGCAAAAACGATGTATTAATTACACAACACGCAACACTAACAATGGGGGAGCCATTGGGAGTCCGACCTCGGTGCAAAACACAACTACAGCGACGGGGTAGTGAAGCGGCGTAATTGAAATATAGATTAGCGAGGATTTTTTAATTACGAAAAGTTAAATGTCATCGCGGCAGTCTTAAGAGTGCGGGCCGTTTTATCGATCGAGTTTTAAGAGAGCGAGCGGGC